AGCTCAAACTCCAGTCCCTCCAGTTCTACCCCCCCAACCCAAAAAAAAAAAAAACAAACCTTAAAAGAACCTTTTAAATTTTGAAAAGATGCCACAAGGAGGGAGGGAGGAGGAAAGAAGGGAGAGAAGGATAAGTGGAGGATTAGAGGCAGATGAGAAGAGGAAAACTTGCAAAAAAGAAGGGACCAACAGCCCTCCTGACTGTATCAAGCATAAGCCAGGGGTTATAAAAGGGAAAATTGAAAAGGGGGGTGGGGAGGAGATGCACCATACCACCAACTTCTTCTTAATTGACCCAAGATTGAAAATGAGTAGCTGCCCATTTCCGGATCCACGGTGCAGGTCCCCTTCTCTGACCTCAGTAGCTTAGGGGGAGAAGCACTCAATGTGAGGTATCCCCAGAGATATACTTAAGCCTGGGCTGAGCTTCCAATGCCACTGACCAGGCAGGCAGCACTCACAAGCATATTAAAGCTGTCCATCCAACAAACCAGTCTCCCCTGCCCACTCACAATCAACCCCCAGGGCTGCTCTGAGTCCACAAAATAGAGTTTGAAAGGAAATAATAATAATAACAATAAGCCAAGGCAGTGAATAATTATTCTTGCATCCATTCATTTGTTCAAAACAAGATTTGAATGTTTATGTCCCCAAGAAACTATTTCTTTCTCTTTCTCTTCTCCCCCTTTCTTCCCTCCCTCTCTTCCTTTCTCTCTTCTTCCCAGACAAGGTCTTGTTATATAGTCTATACTGGACCTCAAACTCAAGATTCTCCTGCCTTAGCTTCCCAAGTGCTGGGATTATAGGTGTGCACCACCACACTGAGCTATATTTATGATTTTTTTTTCTTCTTTTTGGTAGTACTGGCATTTGAACTCCGGGCCTCACACTTGCTAAGCAGATGTTCTACCCCTTGAGCCACTCCCCAGGCCCTATTCTTTGCTTTCTTTGTATTCTTGTTCATCTGCATTTATGTTCAGTCAAATCTGCTTTATTCATTACTGTGACCCCAGGGTCTAGCCTAATGCTGGCATAAAACAGACATTCCCATTTGTCACCTCAATGAATGAATGTGGACCCCAGATGCCCACATTCCAGCTTGGCATCAGGATTTACTCATCAAATATGAACTAAGACAACATAACACACCTGTGAATTATCACACCCATTTTTCAGATGGGGAAACTGAGTCTCACAGAAGTAGTGCTTATCCAAAGTCATAGTAGCTAAAATTCAAACCAGAACCTTTCCCACACTTGCTCATTCAACTACCCTAACTAGTTATACTGACTTCCCCTCCTTGAGGTGGCAAGCCTCAGGCCCTGAAAGGAGATGGGGGGTGAGGCAGAGTAGAAACTCTGAAAGGCTGAGTCTGGACTGTGACAGCTGCCTCTTGGGGATTTTAGGGTTTTGGCAGCTTCTGGGAGCTGTGACAGCTGATTGCTCAGCGTCTGGCTGTGCTTGGAAGGGAATGTGTAACAGACACCAAGGTGAGCATTTTAGGAGAAAAGGCTTGCCCAATAAAAAGGCCGGAGAGCAAACAGGGATTTCCATAACCAGAAGGCAGGGAGGCGGGCGGAGCAGCAGCTGGCCTTCCTTAATGGCCTTGCAAGGCCTGGGACTTGAGGGCCACACTCTGAAGGGGACACCAAGCAAGGGTAGGAGCACAACCCACATGTGGCTCCATCCCTAGCAGGCTCTGCACCAGCCATGTCACAGGCATGCATAACTGGGAAGTGATGGAGGAGTGGGGAGTGGGGAGTGGGGACTGGGTGTCTGATGATGTAATGTGATCCCAAAGCAGTTCTCTCAAAGTCCAACTGAATTAAGGGTCTGCTCTGTGTTTGCCCAAGCTTTCAGCACCCACTTGAGAAAGGAGGGAAATGGGTGGAATTAACCCACCTCTGTGGGGAGGGCAATTCTTCAAGCAGCCTTTTGGGCTCTGTTTTTCCAAAGCCTGGTGGTAAAGAAAGCAACTGAAGGAAACAGTTTCGGGAAGAGCTGGCCAGCTCTCTTCACCCCACATCAACTGCAAGTGGGTGCTAGGTCAAGACTGCTGAGACCCCAAACTTCTAACAGTGCCAGTTTCTCATGCCAGTTTGTGCTAAGGAAAAGGAAAATAATCAGCACCTCTAAAGAATCAATTTATGCCAGGCGCGGGTGACTCACACCTGTAATCCTAGATACTCAGGAGGCAGAGAGAGATCAGAAGATTGAGGTTCAAAGCCAACCCAGGGCAAATAGTTGGAGAGACCCTATCTGGAAAATACCAACACAAAACAAGGCTACTGGAGTGGCTCAAATGGTAGAGTTACTGCCTAGCAAGTGTGAAGCCCTGAGTACAAACCACAGTACTACAAAAAAAAAAAAAAAAAAAAAAAAAAAGAAAGAAAGAAAGAAAAAGAAAACACTCTTTGTGCCCTTCAACCCTTGTGACACGTTCCATATTCTCAAACTCCCAGGCAGCAAATTCTCCATAAAGCCCATAGACAACTAAACCTGGTGCCAATGTCATATCCCTTCCTTTCCCCAGACTCTCCAAAGAGAGCAAAACCATCTTCCTAAAACCTGGCTTCCATTTTAAATCCCAAAGCCAGTCCCAGAGGTCAAATGTGTGATTTTACCAGAAGGTAAAATGCCCTAGAGCAATTCCACATTTCAGTGATGTGGGGAGACTCCACAGTACAGAAAGGCTAAAAAAAAGTTAAATGCCAGGAAATCTGTTGAGTGGGATGGAGTCTGTGGACATGAAGGGAACTGAGACCAGTCACACAGAAACTTGTGGGGTGCGGTGTGGAGGCCACCTCTGCACTCTGAACCACCAGCCCCAGCACCTCCATACACACACACCTAATCTGCTCCACCTCCACCACCACCATCTGCCCTCAGTCTGCTTCACAACCTTAATTCCCCAAACACCTCTCTCTCTCTCTCTCTCTCTTCCTTTCTTCCTTCCTTCTTTCTTTCTTTCAGATTAACAGAAAGCAAAAGAGGATGAGAAGAACCAATTGTGGATCCTTCAGCAGATTAAAGAATTGCTTTATGCTTCAATTTCCTCACTTGCAAAAGTAGAATGGCATCCACCCTCTTCAGATTCCTGTGAAGAGTCTGGCACCTGTGGCTCTTGCCAGTAATCCTAGCTGCTCAGGAGGCAGAGATCAGGATGGAGGTTCAAAGCCAGCCTTCGAAAATAGTTCTCAAGACCCTATCTCTAAAAACACCCATCACAAAGAAGGGCTGGTGGAATGGCTCAAGGTGTAGGCCCCAAGTTCAAACCCCAGACATACACACACACACAAAAATACGTGAACGCTTGCCTCAGAGGTGGGGGACAAAAGTGAATAACAGGTGTTACTATTAATAATAAAGGATTACATTAACATGTAATGACATTATTATTGTCAAACCCAAGAGCTTAGCGGGTAAAATAAAAGCCAAACAAGTGGAGGAGCGCCTGTCTGGTTAGCATGTTTGAGGCCCTGGGTTTGATCTCTGGCCCCTCCGAAAGTCTACAGCACCTTGGGCATTATCAAAAGTATCTAGCATAGGAAGACAAAGCAACCAGCATTCAACCAGCTCTCACATGCGTGCCTTTCTAATCTGCCCTACTCTTCAAGGTTGGGGTCTAGTTTGCCTCCTTCCAGAAGCCAGCCCTCACCGTCCTATTGACACCCCAAATCATCCCAGGCCACCCACACCCTTTCACACCTCACTGCCCATGTCCCACAGTGCCATCCCCTAAGGAGACCCTGGAAAACTCCTGTTAGAATGCACACTTAGGTGGGCAGGACTGGAACGTCCCTATCTCCAGCACCTCAGTTTATTCCTGGGGCAGCCAACACAGAGTATCAAGTAGAGCCTTGTCGAGTAATGGCTGACCCACTCCAGCAGCAGGCAGGCAGGACAACACTGCCTTTCTGATCCTACGGAAAGCCCCACAGAACACAGCCATAAAGACGGTTAATCAATCAAGCTGCAGTGTCTCTGAAAAATACACCTCGCACTGTTGAAACAACTTCCAAAGTTCAAAACAAAATCCAACACACCATGATTGCCTACGATTTTTTTTTTTTTCTTTTTCATGGCCAAAGGCTAGAAGAATAAATAGAATGGCAAATATTCCCTCAGGAGGAATTGTGGGTGACTTTTCTTTTTAAAAAGTATCCTTTTATTGCTATGATACTTGTCTAATCAACTAAAATCATGAGGGAGGAAAAGTGATTGTGATACAAAGTAAGCACCTGGGAATTAATGAAACAAACAAACAAAAAAAAGACGAAAGAAGAAGAAAAAAGAAAAGAAACCAGTCTCTTCCCTTACTCCCAGTCCTGCCTCAGGCCAGTAGAACAGAGAAAACTCTAGATTATCACTGTGATAAGGCCTGAAATACATTGGGTGTTTGTATGAATTTTCATTCTCTGAGTCACAGCTACTGTGTTTAAAAAAAAAAATCATTCTTTGGGGAAATAGTACCTGTTACCAGTATCAAAATGTTTTCATCTCTATGAACAAAAGCCACAACCCTGGTAACCAAGAACCAAGAGCGAGTTCCTCAGTCAATCCCCAGACAGTGCACAATGGGACCTGGGAACTAGATTCCCATTCAGATTCCTACTGTGTGGATTCTAGCCAAGTGGACTCACCCTCTGAGACTCTGCTTGCTCATCTGTAAAGGGGAAATATTCCTGTCCCGAGGTCCCAACAATCAGGGGTTTGCAATTTGACTGTCTCCAGTGGTCAGGGCAATGAGACATACTGATGGCCTCTCACTGCCCCCACCCGCCTCTGCTTTCTTGTAACAGTTAACCAGCCAGAGCTACCTCGCTCGACCACAGTTTGCAGTCGGTAAAAGTTGAGGACCCCCTCCCCCCAAATCGGGGTAAGTTCCAAGCGAGTGTCGTCGTTCAGTAAGGGGCCCTAGTGCCTGGGAGCACAATTTCTTGGTCTCTTCCTTCCCTACTCCACCTCATTCCGCCCCGGAACACCAGGGGCGCCCTCACCTCTGCCCAGGACACGGTCTCTCTCCAGGTGCCACCGGGGCACCGTGAATGTGTAGCTTTCGGCACTAAAGCCAGGACGGCAGGGCTCCGGCTCCTGGCAAAGCCACGATGGGACCTGGGGTAGAAGAAAGGTACAGAGCCAATTGACTTGGGGGCTCCCTCCTGCCCACACCGAAACTAAGAGCGCCGCCCCTCCCTGGCTCGGGGCACCGGGATTGTGGGAGGACCCCCGCCCCCCATCCTGGGGGAAGACGGCGACGTCATCCTCTTCCATCCCGAAACCTGCCGCCAGGATCCCAAGAACTCCCGGGGGAGGGGGCCGCTGGCTCACCGCTCAAAACCCAGCCTACCTTCCCTTGCTGGCCCGTTTCATTTCATTGGAGACATTTTTATTCTTTCCGATCCCACTTTCATTGGACCTCGAGCACTCTGAAGCCTATTTCCCCAGACCCAGGGGCGCTCTGACCCCCCCCACCCCCTTTAGTCTCGCTTTCTTATCCCAAGGCGCCCCTATTCCTACCTACTATCCTTCCTTTACATGGCAGGTGCCTTTAGTTCTGCTAATGTCCCTTTCCTTACCTCTAGGATCGTCCCCTCTACCCCTGGCTCCCCCTTTCCTTGCACCGGGACTCCCCTTTCCCACAGGCGGACCCCCATTCTGCTCCACGCTCCCCTGCCGGCCCCAAGCCCATACCGCGGCTCCTGGAGTCCCCGAGCCTGCAGGGCGGCGCGTGCCCCACCTGGGCATTTACAGGAGGGGCGCGCAAAGCCGCGCTCCCCCCAGTCCCCTCCACTCCCACCTCCGCGCAGCCCAAAGCACCAAGCAGCTTCCAAGCCGTTCTGATCCTTTGGACCCAAACTTTCTTGGAAAAAGGGAAGCGGGGACGGCAGGAGAGAGGAAGGGACGCGGGACTGCGGCGCGGATCGTGGGGCCGGAAGGTGTTCCCCTAAACCAGGGCACGCGACGTACCTGCAGCAGCAGCAGGAGCGCGGAGAGACTGCGGCACAGAGGGCCCATGGCGGGCCGTGGGGTGCAGAGCGAAGGCGGAGATCGGGCGCGGTCGGGTCGGGCCGGGCCGGGCCGGGCTGGGCTGGGCTGGGCTAGGCTGGCCGGGCTAGAGTCAGGCTCAGACTTCAGCGAACTCACAGGTGCTGCGGTTCTCGCCTGAGCTAGGCAGCGCGGCCGCCGCCAGGTGAGCCGCGAAGGCCACGCCCCCGGTGCTGCTGATTGGCCGAGAATGCACCTGCGGAGCCACAGCCAATGAGAGGCGCCACAGCCAATGAGAGGCGCGGCCTCAGCTTCCTCCGCGGCAGGGGCGGACCGCCAGCCCCGGCCACGCCCGCCCAGGAAGACCCTGTGACTTCCCTGGAGAGTCGTGGGTAGGGTCAGGACTTATGGGACCTGCACGATTCCTATTTCACATGTTGGAATCCCAGCCCCGACGGTGGCTCACTAAGATCTGGGCTCAGAATGGACTTTTTTCCTGATCTGCGAAACTGGGATTTGAACTCAGGACTTAGAGCGAGACCGTTGAACCACACCTCCAAGCAGTCTTGATCTACTATTTTATTTTAATTTATTTTATTTTACGGTACTGGGGTTTGAACTCAAAGTCTACACCTTGAGTCACTCTACCAGCCCTTTTTTGTGATGGGTTTTTTTTTTTTTTTTTTTTTTTGAGATCGGTCTCACGCACTATTTGCCCGGGCTGGCTTCGAACCGAGATCCTCCTGATCTCTGCCTCCTAAGTAGCTAGGAGTAGAAGTGAGCCACAGGCGCCCGTTTAACCGCAGCTCTCCATAGATTAGCGAGTCAGTAAACCCATCCACTAGGTCAACCATGTCTCCAAGCCTCAGTTTCTCCACTTCAAAATGGGACTAATGATCAGGAATGCCTCCCTACGTTTTTGTGAGCCACTTATACAATCAATCAGTAAGACCAATATCCCTTGAGCCATGAAAGCTCTATACAAACGTAAGGGGCTATAATAGTAACAGTAGGTGCCAGACATAGAAGGTTTCTGTGCCAGGCTCTGTGTTGAGGAGCCCTTGACATTGCCCATCTCCTTTAACCACATGTCAATACAACACAAGAGCGGGGTGTAGGTTGTTCACACCTAATCCTAGCTACTCGTAGGAGGAAGGGGATCAGGAGGATCAAGGTTCGAAGCCAGGCCAGGCAAATAATTCATGAGACCCTATCTCAAAAATACCCAACACAAAAAAGGCTGGTAGAATGACTCAAGTGGTTAAAAAAGCAAAAAACAAGAGCTATGTTTTTATCCCATTTGATGGGTGGGCAACTGAGGTATAAAAAGGATGAAGCAGCAGGCAGGAGGCAACGCAGGACTCAGACCTACCTCCCTCTGGTGCCAAGGCACCTTCTCCTCCTGCTTTACTTCAAGTGGCCCCTGGAAGTCGTCTAGATAAAGCTGCAGGAGGTTGCTCTCAAGTTTTTTATGTTTGTTGCAATGCTGGAGATCAAATCCCAGGCCTGCAAATACTAGGCAAGTGCTCTACCACTGAGTTACACTCAGAGCCCTTCAATCTGTTTGGGTTTTTTTGTTGTTGTTTTTTTTGCTTTATTTTTAGAAACAGTTTCTCTTGCTATGTAACCTGAGCTGGACTTAAATTCATGATTTTACTGCCTCAACCTTCTGAGTGCTGATATTACAGGCATGCACCATAGTGCCTGGTTCTACTTTTTGGTTTTGGCAGTACTGGTGTTAAACTCAAGTTTCATGCTTGCTAGGCAGATGCTCAACTGCTTAAGACACACCTCCATCCTGACTCTGTTTTTTGTTTGCTTGCTTGTTTGTTTTTGTGGTACTGGCATTTGAACTCAGGGTCTCACACTTGCTAGGCAGGTGCTGTACCACTTGAGCCACACTAGCCCCCAGCTCCTTCCAGGTCTGTTTTTAGAGATCACTCAAGCCAGTTATTTGCAGATAACGCATTTGATGTCACATAGCAAGTCAAGACCAGAACCCAAAATCTCCTGATTTTCAGATTGGGGCTTTTAATCCCATAGCCACCACTACCTTCTCAAGAGAATTCTACCCTTGGTAAAAATTTAGGATCCAAAGCAAAATAGACAGGCAAAAGTTAGATCAGATAGCTTCCCTGTCTGCCTGTGGCCAGCCACGTCAGCATTATTTGACTGCATGCAGACAGAGACACCTTCTTTCCCTTGATCTAAGTCTGGTCAGAACTACGGAATAATTTGTTCCTGCCACTGGCTAGATGTGTGCCCTTGGTCAAGTCAGTGTTCTCTGTATAAAGGAATTGACACTGGTTAATACAAAACCAATCACTAAGCAGCGTTCTTGACATGCAGTAGCATTACCCAATGAATGACTAGTGTGGAGGCCGTGCTTGTGAAAGGCCCACTCCTATTTCCCTCCTACCTGGGAATGACCATATTTGGAGTATTTCACCCAGTGCTAAAGGTGAATTTGAACCCTAGAGAGCACTTCCTTCTTTGCAGAGAGGTGTTAGCTCAAGCCCAGACACTGTTTCCCGTCAGCCCTTCCCCACAGGCTGACCCTCAGTTTTAATGGGTTTCCAAGCACACACCCCGCCTTTTGGATTTCTTCATCTTGGCTCTCTTTGCCTCTTTACCCACCAGGAGACTCAGAAGGAGAAGGCTCCAGTGTTTCCTTTCTCTCCAAGCCTCCTGTCCAACTGCATTAAATCAGATAATGGAGATACAGAAAGAGGCGTTTCCCCCATGAGGCACCCTGTTCCGTTTATTTTTTTTCCTCCCAGTTATGTAAAAATACATATTTTATGCTATCACTGGGGAGCCTTTGGGGCTCTGCTTTTCTCTGCCCAGCAAGCCTTAGCCTTGTAACTCCAAGGCAGCTCTCACTGGCTGTTCCATTACACTCTGATAATTCAATAAAAAGGATTTTAGACAACGATTGGGGGCACAGGACTGGTCAGGCCCCATTTGCTCTTCAATCTCCAGGGAGAGCCAGCCCCACCCCCATGGTGTCCAGGCTGAGGACACAGAAGGGCTGGGCTGATGTGCAGCTGTGCAGCTTGGACTGCCTCGGTTTCCTCTTCTATCAAACAGGGATACTTCAGTGTGGGGATCACCAAGCCGCTGTGACAGAGCCTGTGTTGTTGATGTCCAGCTATGCTGCTCAGGGGCATTGGTCTCAGACTGGTGCAGTGTTCAAATTCTGTGTCTGCCACCCCCAGAGGAGCCTGCACACTTCATCTGCCCCAGTCTCCCCACTCATAAAAGGTTTCCTTTGGTGGTACTGGGATTTTAACTCAGGGCCTTACACTTGCTAGGCAGGTGCTCTTACTGCTTGAGCTACTCTGCCAGCCCTTTTTTGTGCTGGGTATTTTCAAGGTAGTGTCTCACAAACTATTTGCCCAGCCTGGCCTCGAAGCTCCATCCTCCCAAGTAGCTAGGATTGTAGATTCGAGCCACTGGTGCCCGACTCTTTTTTTTTTTTTTAGTATTGGCGTTTGACTCAGGACCTCAGACTTGCCAAGCTCTATCCCTTGAGCTCCACCCCCAGTCCTCCTTATTCATGAAAGGAAGGCTTTGACAGCACTGAATTTAAAGGGTTCGGTAAAAGTTACTACCTTTTCTTCTCAGTTCTAGGCAAAATTGTTGAGTCCCCTGGGGGCCTCCCCAGTCCCAAATTCTCCTTTCCCCATCCCCACCTCCACCCCACCTAGAAAGCCTAAGACTTTCACACAGAATGGTCGTTAGGAACTCCAGGGTCATTTGCATTCTAAAGAGGAAGTTGACCTTGGTTCTTTCAGAGGAATGAAAAGCCTTGGAATTTAAGTACCTGGGAAAGTTGGTTCTGGGTACTTAACCTGGTGTCAAGGCTGGGCTTTGGGGAGGTCCTCGAACCCCCTAGAGGTTGTATGCAATCCTGTCCATGCAAATAAGCCTATGGCTTTCCTAGCTTCTCAACTAGGCGCTAAAAAGTCAAAGTCTAGGAGTTGAGATCTGAGGAGTATTAGGCAATCATAGGAGAAAGAAATGGAGCCAGAAGCCCTGGCCGAGCCTTAGAGATCACTCTGGAAGATAACAGTCAGCCTCCTAGGTCCCCGTCTCCAGGTTTCCTCACTGCAGAGTGTGCCCACACATTTCCTGGTGTCAGGCAACTGGTCTCCCTGTGGGTTAATGATTAAATCCCCCAGGTGGCCTTGTCCCTTTCATCTCCTGGCAAGCAGGCCATAATAAGGGTGTCCAGACTGGGAAGGGTACGGTTCCTCTGCCCTCACCAGATGGCTGTGGAGGAACCACCCCAGGGAAATTGGAATTGCCAGGGATTGCAGCAAGCTGGGTGGGGACTCTCGCCCCTGGTTAAAGCTATGGTAACTTGGACTGGAGGAGTTGCTCAAGTGGTCAAGCACCTGCCTAACAGTGTGAGACCCTGAGTTCAAATCCCAGTACCACCAAAAAAATTTTTTTAATGTCTGCATTTTTGTAGTTTTATTTCAAACACAAAATAAAAAACCGGTGGAGCTGGAGGTGTAACTCAAGTGGTAAAGCACCTGAGTTCAAACCCCAGTTCCCACCCCCCCCACCCCACCCCCGCCAAGAAAAAAACCATGTGTGGTAGTTCATGCCTGTAATCCCAGCATTTGGGAGGCCAACCTAGGACATATAGCCAAACTCTGAACACACACACACACACACACACACACACACACACACACCACACAAAAATAGGAGATGTAGCTCAGAGGTAGAGCACTTGCCTAGAATGCACAAGGCCCTGAGTTTGACCCCTAGCATTACAAAATATATAAATAGAATTTGCATATAATTTGTGTGTCCTCCTGTAGTCTTTAAATCATCACCAGGTGAGTATAACACCTGATATAACGTGAGTGCTATATAAACAGTTCGTTGTAGTGTATTGTTTAGGGAATGATGGGAAAAAATGTCTTTACATATATTCAATACAGATGCAATGTTTCTGTTTTTAGTCAGGGTCTCACTGTCTGGCCTTGAACTCCTTGGCTTAAGTGGTCCTCCTACCTCAGCCTCCCAAGTAGATGGGGCT